AGCTGGTTAAGACTGGTGAATAACTAGGCACGATGGGCTGTAGGATGTCCCTCAAAGTCCATATCCTTGATGCTCAATTTGATAAATTCAAGGAGAACATGGGAGCGTACTCGGAAGAGCAAAACGAGTGCTTCCACCAGGATATACTGGACTTGAACGCTGCTACCAAGGACAGTATAACGAGAACACGATTTGGGGGCTGATTCGTGAAAGTGATTTACAGTATAATCCTAAATCTCGAAAAACTACTCACTTCTAAATCTTTGTATTACTTTAGTTTAAATACATGATACTTTTGATTCATGTTGTTCTTTTTTTACTTTATGTGAATGAAAAGAGACAAATTCGCCCGTTTTCTCATGAAAATAGGTACATTTCAAAATATCACTGCCCTGGTCACAAAAGCAATGTTTGTGGGAAATAATAGCCATTTTCTATACTTTTTAGGCATAAATTACGAAATAACACTTACTACCCAGGAACAAAAATTGTGTTACATAGTGTAATCCATCCGATTACCTTGTCATTTTAAGGAAGGGTTTAATTTGTGTTATGCTTCCCATTATATGGGTAATAAACAATCCGAAATGTTCAATTTTGAAAAAAATGTGACATGCAGATGATTAAACATTAAATAGGGAGGTCTGAAAGATACAAAATAACAAAGTGCTGCTGACATCGAGCTTAAAACACCATGACACCCCCGCTGATGGATTTGATTGTGTCAATGCAATCGTCCTGTTTATTAATGTATTGCTCATATGTATCGTGACATAATCATTATTACTGTAAAACCAACATTATTTGTACACTCATGTTTTAACATGATAATAAACGTAAAGCAAATGTATTTATAGTTTTTCTTAAATATACATACCATAATAATGCTACTAATTTGCAATAGTCTTGATTTAAAGCTTTATGATACACTGTACGTATGATACACTGTATGCCACACTAAGTTGGCCCAAAAAAATGTAATAACACAAAGCACATTTAAAAACTAGGTATTTTACAATATAACTTTCAATCAAACCGCCCATCCATTATCTAAAACAGCCATTCATTTCAAAGGTCACTGATAGAAGCAGTGTGTTTAAAAATGTTCACATTGTGCTTACTACTCACCTCACACAATTACGTGTAAAATGTACAGCACTGAATTAACCATAATGTATTTGTGCATGATTGCCTTCTGAATGTGATAAGATTGCATGGCAATGCTTCCCTCAGTCATCTGACTGGGCCAGTAAAACACATCTCATTGAATGTGTAGGCATGATGCATGAATATCATTTCCTGTTTTTGTCAAATGCTAAAATGTGTAGCATTGTATAAGTGCAATGTATGCATGTATGTTGAACTTCTTTCAATCTAGGAGCATTACATGTTTTTACACATGCTGTGTATTTTTTTTGGCTGCATAACCAAATGGGGATCTATTTAACTTGGCTCAATCTGGAACACAGACGTTGTAATGTCGTATACAAAATAATGAACGCCAATCAGAGCCTACAGTATTGGAAATTGGTTCATCAGACTGGAGCGCAACCCTCAGTGTCAGTGTCCTGTAACACTTCAGCCTTCTCCCATTCGAACGTGGCGCAAATCAAAACAAAAAATGGTTACGGTGATCCACGTGTAGCACCAGGTGCACAATGGAATATTTGCAAAATAATATTACTCGACATTTTAGTGAGCGGGAAAGAGAGAGATTTTAAAAAACATATCCACACCTATTATGTGTTGACATGTCATCAAACACCCGACCCCTTAACAATTCAACGAATTGTCACAAATCAGGGCCAATATTGAATAAAAATGTATCAATTATTTAATATTCTTGGGTCTTTCGGTAAAGTCACGTAGATAGGTTACTTAATGACTTGTGTTTTTCGTTGTTGCTCATATTGTTTCTTTGTCACGTTATTAATGTGACTTGACCGTATTACTTTCGTGAACATTTTAATACAAATTGTCATATAGCATCTACTTTGATGTACTGATGCTTCATTACGTGTTCAGTGACCAAGCATCGCAGTGAGCACACTTGTGACCGAGTCGGTTTGGATGGAATCGTTCATTAATTTCCCATTGTCACCGAGTACTTTCTTCAGAAAATATATAAAGCATGCCCATCTGCAATACGGTGGACATTAAAGATGTTCTAACAGCAGTAGGCATTTGTTTAGAGTATTTTCCTTGGGTTATTTTGCAACTATGAGCCTCCCTTCCAAAAGAGTTGGCATGTAGTCTCCAACAATATTTTGTCAGAAGAATGGCCAAATTCGTGCTCTTTCTGCTAGGCTGGTGGAAAATCTATTCCTGCCAAAACATAAATCAGTACCAATAAATTGCAATGCCTCTCACTGGGCAAGTAACGTATATTACAGGACGAGGTTTTTAACAGAAACATGAATGTGTCCCTTGTTGAATGAAGCCTACTTCGACTGAATTTTGGTTAAATGCCAGCTGCATGTATGTTGAACTTCTTTCGCACTGTACATAGCCACACTCATTACACACAAAGTACTTCTCACAAATGCACCACAATACCTGGCTGATCTCGTCAAGGAGCAAAAACCATCACCAAGCGAACTCCAGTAATCCTCGCAGCGGCGGATTTTGGGTAGCCATCGAACAAAGACGGTCACCGCATTGCGCGCTTTCAGATGCATATCTGCGGCCGTCTGGAACACTCTTCCTTCCGATATTAGGAAGCCACTGGAGGAGTTATGCACTTTTAATCCATCTAAATTGAAAACTAATTTCTTTGGAACTCCCTTTTTGTGCTGAGTTTGTTGTCCTTCCCCCGCACCTCCGATTAGCACGGTTGGCTACGAACGGTGTAAAAGAAGTTTAACATTCATACCAACATAGCCAACCGTGCTAATCGGGGGTGCGGATATCATGGCAATGTAAGTGAAACCATGATTATAATATAAATTGTGGAGTTAGCAATTTGCAACGTTAACACGACGCTGTTCACGGTTTAATTGATTACAAAAGCAGTACCGCTGAAGTCATCAATACACAACTAAACTGTAAATGAGCCTCGACATTTCTGAATCGTTTAATGTTACCAGTGTAGTGTTCAGACACCGCAAAAATACAAGTCGTAAGAAAGCGTATGTGAATGTTTTTGAATGCTGTGAATTCTTCAGCCTCAGTCCTGTGTTGAATGTCAAGCTCGTAGGCTGTCACCAGCCCCTCCCAGGGCCTCCTGCACAGCATTTCAGATCCATGACAAATAGGAATAAGTTTGACCCATTCTGGCAATTAAAACAGGTTGTGTTAAGATGTTCAAACACCAAATAGATTCCTTTTGCAAAGAACCATATCTGCATTAACCACACGTACTTGTGGTGAACATGCAAACAAACATAAACTCTGATAATATTTGGGCATTGTCTATGAAACTGATTGGCCTACACCAGGGACAGCCTTCTTTATGGCCTAGTCTCACCAGTGTCAGACCAGAGAACGGCAAAAGGCGAACAGTACAAGTACAATGTCACTATCGGAGCATTTAAATCTCGGGGTGAGCAGCTATATCGTGGGACCTTTTTCCAGTATCAAAGTATGATGCTGGGAAAAAAGGTCCCATGATATTTAAAATACACCTTGTACTTCCGCTACACACGTTGAGAATGCACAATCACTTGATTCAATTGCAATTATTGCATTCTATTTATATGTGGACATTACATCTTTTGAAATTGTACCCTTATGTTTTGGTGAACAATACATGATTGATTGTAATAGGCCTTGAAAAGTGAACTTTAGCCACACGTGTTGTTTTGTAAGAACAAAATAAAAATGTTAGGTTGTGAGTGTCCACACCCAGTGTGAATGTTTTTTGTTAAGACTCAATTTGTCACACTTTAAGCCCTAATAATCAAATTTAAGCTTGTTTTACTTTCAAAATATACTTTATATGTTTGGAATCACTAAATTAGTCAATCTAGTTTAAATACTACGTTATATATTCTATTATACAGTGCAAAGCGTGGAACTCGTCGGTACTGCTATATCAAAAAATTACAATCGAGAGACTTTTTGGTGGATAGACTCTGGCAAGGTACATTTTGCATGAGGGTCCACATTATGTAACGTAACAATGTGGCACTGCACATGATTGAGTGTCTATTCTCACTTGAGTTTTCAGGCTGTTACCATGTGTTGTCAGGCACGGTGCCTGACGTTTCGCACCACATCGGACGTCATGCCGAACAACACGCGGTACAACCTACAAACATTTCAGAATAACTGCACAGCAGAACGGTTAAAACCTACCAACAGCAGAACGAGTGCGTATTCTTAAGCAGTTTGTGTGAAAGCCACCTATGCTGATGTACACTTTTGTATTCCGCTTCTTCAACTATAAAACCTGAGCGCGATGGTCGAGCGATAAGTGGGCCTGGCAAAGTTTGCTAAACGATAACGGGGACACAATTGGAAAACACGGCAAAAAATGCCCACCCGAAGCTAATCATGGAAGGTAAATGGGGATACACGTTATTAAATAAAGAGGCGAGCAAGAGCAGGATGAATGCAACTTTGGGGAAAGCAAATTTGATCATGCAGCAAATGAGCATCTCGAAGTGCTTGAAGGAAACGCTTTTCAATCGATGCACTGAGAGGTACACCAAAAACATTGACAATAACAAAGGCATTTAGACAAACGATGAAACGTACGCAAGGAAGCAAAGGGGGAGATGGATGCTTGGCATTACACTGCGAACACAGCGCACGCGCAGGAGTGAGATGGCTTGTGGCATTGCAGCTCATGCGGGATGGTGACGGCGGGGGAAGGATTTCATCCAGCAGTGGATAGACCAAATTGAAGGTTGTAGATACGGTCTGGTAAAATCGATGAGGTTTACACTGCTTAAAGGGTACACCATCGATTATTGTGAAATAAAAATGCAAGTACTGTACAATGATACCATTAAGAATAATGTTGATATAAAGTACATTTAAAAAATAGATACTAATTGTATTGAAATTCCATGCTTGATCAACAATACTAATTATCAATACTTATTCAGAAACATTACTCTCTTGTCATGTATTTTTACAATTCTGTTTTACAATTCTATTGTAAAACTTCTAAATTACTTCCGAATAACTTTAGAATTGCTGCCTCGCCACTTGTGCATTAAATAAACGGTTACAACTATTCCTGTCGGTCGAAGACTCGTTAATTGACGTGTAGACAGTCGTTCCTCTCAGGATCTTAAAAAAATACATATTTATTTTTAAAAAACGCAGCTAATAATCGCAGTGTGTTTTTCACGTGACGTTTTCTATTAGCTGCGAATGTCTACTCCCTCATTAACGTCATCACATTGTTCATGTTCGTCTGGTTGACCTTCTTTCGCACCGTACGTAGCCAACCGTACTAATCGGGAGGTTGCGGACGAAGCACAACAAACTGAAGACAAAAATCAGTTGGCAAGAAATTTGTTTTAAATCATACTTAAAAGTTCCAATGTAGATTTTTAAATCGAATTAAATTTTAAAGATAAAAAAAATCGACATTGAAAGGGCTCCATTCCCACTGGGCCCATGAGATCAACATTCTTGAGTTGATTTCAATGAAGGGAAATTGAAAGGGATGCTATGGAGGCCAAAACCCTTAACATCGTGTTTAATAACAAATGGACTGTTATTTTACCACACGGATTTCACTTAGCAAATCACAGGCGTCGCTTTGCGATGTTAAACACATAAAGCAATAGCGTAATCGAATTGCACTTGAATCTGATTCCAGTTGCTTTAGACATTGTATTTGTATATGATGTACCCTCCATGCAGACTCACATCTATGAATTGAGTTTGAGTGACGGACTTGGACAGATATTCCAAAACGCTTCCACTTTTATTTAGCAGTAAGACAATGTAAAAAAAGTACATTATTAACATTTTTTTTATATATTCTGGCACTTTAACAATTACACGTGAATTTCTTCATAGTTGTCTTTATTGAAGTCCTGTGTATCGTTTTGGTCGTTTCATAATTGCACAATTAAATACTGGTAGATTTCAGTGGTTAATTTACATTATTTTGAGACGTAATGTATATATATAAACAATGGTTATTTTTATCTGTTTGATTTGTTCTTTTGGAAATAGGTAGTGTAGCAATGTATGCTATGTATTCTACAATCGTTTCACAAACTCATAAGTGTTGCATTTGCTTATGGCTATGTACTGCAATATTCAAAACAACAATGCAAAGAAAACAATCCTTTAATCTGCACCACACCCAACAGTTCATACAACCTTAAACTATATATATAAAAAATACTGAGTGGTGGAATATTTCAAAATGAAAACAACAAAATAATAATTACTCTCTCTGATGTTTTTTCGGGTTGTGTTGTTCAGCATGGAAATCACGTCGAACAACACGAGGTGTGATTCCCATGTCGAACAACACGAGGTGTAATTCCCATGTCGAACAACACGAGGTGTGATTTCCATGCTGAACAACACGCAGTGTGCTTCCCATGTCGAACTACACGTGGTGTGATTCCCATGCCGGAGAGCATGTGGTGTGATTCCCATGTCGAACAACACGTGGTGTGATTCCCATGTCGAACAACACGAGGTGTGATTCCCATGTCGAACAACACGCGGTGTGATTCCCATGCCGAACAACACGAGGTGTAATTCCCATGCCGGAGAGCACGTGGTGTGATTCCCATGTCGAACAACACGTGGTGTGATTCCCATGCCGAACAACACGAGGTGTGATTCCCATGCCGAACAACACGTGGTGTGATTCCCATGTCGAACAACACGTGGTGTGATTCCCATGTCGAACAACACGTGGTGTGATTCCCATGCCGAACAACACGAGGTGTGATTCCCATGCCGGAGAGCACGTGGTGTGATTCCCATGTCGAACAACACGTGGTGTGATTCCCATGCCGAACAACACGAGGTGTGATTCCCATGCCGGAGAGCACGTGGTGTGATTCCCATGTCGAACAACACGCGGTGTGATTCCCATGTCCAACAACACGCGGTGTGATTCTCATGTCGAACTACACGTGGTGTGATTCCCATGTCGAACAACACGCGGTGTGATTCCCATGTCGAACAACACGCGGTGTGATTCCCATGTCGAACAACACGTGGTGTGATTCTCATGTCGAACTACACGTGGTGTGATTCCCATGTCCAACAACACGCGGTGTGATTCCCATGTCGAACAACACGAGGTGTGATTTCCATGTCGAACAACACGCGGTGTGATTCCCATGTCGAACAACACGCAGTGTGATTCCCATGTCCAACAACACGCGGTGTGATTCCCACGTCGAACAACACGCGGTGTGATTCCCATGTCGAACAACGCAACCAGGACGCACATTGTCGGAGAGCCGGGAGGCGTTGATCTGAGGAGGCGCTGTCAGCATGTGTAACAGGTGTAGTTATTCGCACATTTTTTTGTTTGGGTCAGATCGCGTAAGTAAAATGTGTGTTGTAAACTCCCTCCACCCGACACAGCCAATTAATAAGGTTGTCACGCAAACAATCACGCCAATCTATGACTGCTTCGGCACACCGGCGGGTTGCAGAGAAATTCACAACATTTAACAATTGTTGCATATTGGAGGGTTTTACCACGCATTTAGCTGACGCGATCTGACCTTAAGATCAATAATGAACCGTGCTATTGGTTGTGAAAGCCTCCGTGTTAAGGCGTAGTAATGTTCACGATAGTTTGTGCTTATAACCATGCCACCTTGGGACAAACGTTTGGGAGGGGGAGCCAGTTTGCACAGGGCCCCATTCTCCTAAGCCAGCCCCTGTTGGTGGACACCACAACCACAACTACCTACACAACAATAGAAATAAAAATCCTTCATGACACAAATACTCATTTACTCTGCGCTTTGGTGCAGGTTAGATTACTCAGCCGACAATTCACCACCGCCACAGTCTCTTGAACGATAACGTGATAAAAAAAAAATGCTTGGCATGGGAAGCACAGAATATTTCAGCATTGTTTTACAATGTTAATAAGCTAAATCCTTCAGATAGTTCAGAAAAAAATAGGCCAGGGTCCACTTCATAGTGCAACATGGTTTCATTCCTTCCTCTGCAGAGTGCAGCCGTTATTAGAATAAGTTTATATAGTCTTAGAAAAAAAAGGAAAACAACTCATGGGTACATATATTACAGTATAGTCAGTAAATAATGTTCATAATAAAAAATATCAGGTTATGTATGCCAGATTTTAGTTTTGTCTCTTGTCTGTGTTATACTTTAATATAAAATTGGCATCTCCCCATGCCTGATTTTTGTGCGTTATTTTTATCATAGCCACATTGACTTATCAGCAACATGATGTAAACAAACCAAAAATAATGCATCATTAAATGTTTCCATATTGCGTCAAATACAATAATCATCACACATAATATCATATACCTTTAACACTTACAGTTTTTGGAACTTTAATGGTCAATCTAGAAATCACAACAACTTACCAGCCAAATCATCAGATGAATACTCTCTGCAGATCATATAATAAAAATGTATAACATTATGTGTATTTAACAACAATAATAATGATGAAAAAAAGGTTAGTGCATGTCAAATACACATATCAGGATCACAAAAACATGTATACATATTAAATTAAAAAAAACAAGAGCTTTCAAAACTTTGTGGCACACTTACTCTATGGCAATAACACTGCATAATTTGCTGGTAACACTTTAGTGTATTGCTTGGAAGAGGGCACAGATGGGTTGTCCTTTGCCACCCTTATTTATGAGTCCAGAAAGTACTGCATGGCATCAGGCATGGGCTGGCTCATGCCAGGGTGGACTGGAAGGGTTTCTCCGTCAGGAAAACTGCTCAGCTGCTCGCAGTTGACGCCTTGGTAGAGCACGTTGCCATTTCCGATGTTGCGGTCCATGGGGAGCTGGGAGAGAACAGAATCGTTTAGAGATTGCGGCAATATTTTAGTTTTTTTTAAAGCAAATGCCTTCTATTGGACCATGTTAGTGCGGGTTTGAGACGTATTGTCGCATTCGCAAGTATAAGGATGCATTTTTTTCGCGGGTATGGACGCGTTTAAAATGTGAGACTTTTAATAATTATCGCACTGAAAAACAATCAAATAATGCCATAACACCTTTCAATACCTTTCACCTACTAGCATGTCATGTGGCCAGGCAATGCTCTGCAACATTTTCGAGTGTCCACAAGAATCAAGCGTCCTCAAATAGCTCGGTGAGAAACGTGCAAATCATCACACCATCCTGCACACATTATGCATGCACGCATACGGAGCTGGATTGGGCACGTAGCGAGAGGGAAGGGACCGCTGAAGGAGGAAAGATTCTTTCCTCGATCAAGGGAAAGAATGGAGATGCTCGGTGATGTTATCAAGGACATACGGAGAGTTGGAGAGAGCAGCGGAAGTCAGAGAAACATGGAGTAGATTGTGCCTCAGACCTGTCTAGTGCCAGAACACTTCAATGAATGAGTTTATAGTAGATACGTAAAATATATTCACCTTGTACTGCCTTTCCTGTTCCAGTGTGCATGAGATGCCTGAACAAGACATCAGGAGGTCCTCCTCCTCCTGCTGCTGCTGCTGCTGCAGTTGGTGCCGCTGCTGCTGCTGCCGCTCAGATACCTCGCCGGTGAGCTGCTCTTTCATGACAGTAGCTGGGCACTGTTGGCTCTGGTACTGGCAAGAGGACAGCAGGTTAAAGTTCTGCTTCAGCATGAAGCTTTGAGCAGCCGGCATCTTTGAGGGTACGAACTGCTGCAGCTGAGTGGCATAGCCACAGATGGAGCTTCCAGCTGCAGCTGTCCTGCACTGCCCTTCCCCTGACTGGGCCGCCCCGTTGCTGCTGCTGCTGCTGCTGCAGCCCAGGCGGCCGTAGCTGCTGCTGCTGCTGCTGTCGACCGCAACCCCGCTGTTCAGCTGCATTTGCTGACAGGGTGGAAAGCTCTGGGTGTAAGCGGCGGCAGTAGCAGCCTCCACGTTATACTGCTCACCACCGTCATCCAAAGGAGTGTATCGGTAAGACTGCATTACTTGCTGCTGCTGCTGCTGCTGCTGTGCGCGCTGCTGAATTTGCCCATTGACGATCGGGGCCCCTGCTTGGTGCTGCATTGATTGCAATCTCTGCCGCTGGGGCTGGTGTGACGTCTGGGGATGCTGCTGCATTGCTGCGTGTTGCTGTTGCTCATCCCAGCTGGTGTATCTCCTGTTTATCTTCGGCTTGTAAAACATTTGCTGATGTGCTTGCTTGGCAGGCGGCTGCTGCTGCTGCTGCTGTGGCTGCTGCGGCTGCTGCTGCTGATTAGTCACTTGCGGCTGTATGTAAGCGAGACTCTGCGATGAGCTTGGACAGGAAAGGGAGCTCTCAGGCTTGGCCGGGAGCTCCCCCTGGGAGAGCTGCCCCGTGCGGCGGCTCAGCGAGTCGTCGACGTAGTCCAGGATGTCCATGTTGGAGATGGTCTCATTGAGCTGCGCCGACAGCGAGTCGAGCTCCAGCATCACGAGCCGCTCGTCCTGCTCGAACACATCCAGCTCGTCCACGCCGATGCCGAAGCACTGCAGGGCGCTGAGGAGGTCGCCCCCGGCCCCGTCGTCGCTGTCGCCCTCGCCGCCGAGGCCGAGGCCGGGCATCGTGGAGCAGCTCTGCTGCCCAAAGTCAGCCAACTCGTGTGTGAGCATGAGAGCCGTGTTAATATCCGGCTTCATGTCGGCCTGTGGAAACCCACACAACTTTGGTCGACGGCACGCCTTACAGTCGCACGCGCCTAAAACTTTGCGTGTTTTCGTACGAGGAGATTTACGTGAGATCCCGCAACCTCCGATGAGCGCGGCTGGCTACGTACAGTGCGAAAGAAGTTAATTGCAGGGCATTACGTAATTACAGAGATAAATATTTTCTTTAACATTTCACGCAGCTATATGGATTATCGGACGTGGCAAGGACACGCTAATCGTTTGAATCTGTAATGTTGTACGATTGCCGAAGATAAACTGCTGCCTTTGAAGACCCATTGGCTTAACAATGAAATAAAACCAACAAAAAATGACACGCTGGATATCACAATGCACACATCGTCAGAAACCTCTGCATATGCAGCCGCAACTGCATTCAACCTACGGAGGACTCCTCTGTGATGGTGGCCCTGTCGACCGCACGGCCCCTCGACAGCTGGTCCACAACGTCCAAGCTTCCCATGCTGCCCAGCTCCGAGAAGTAGCTCTTGGAGAAAGAGAACTTGGGAACGGGGTCGGGCGGACACACGTACACCGACTCGTCCTGCCGGAGCATCGCGCCCAGCAAAGAATCGGGATCCAGCGAGCCCCGAGCACCCGATCCCCCGGCTGCCCCTTTGGAGCCCGAGCCCTTTTTCCCACGGCCACCGCCGCCGTGCCCCTTCGGCTGCATGGGGTCGAGCGACGGGGGCAGCGTGAAGCTGCACTCGTAGAGCACCGCCTCGCCCGTGGCGTACGTGAAGGGCAGGTGCAACGAGCGCTTGCGCAGCTGCTCCGCTCCCTCCTCGTCCCTGGGGAAGCAACGCACAAAGGCAACGATCCCCCGAATAGCCATTGGCAGACTGTTGCGGCAAGCACTGTGAGCGAGCAAACGCGAAGGCTTGCACGGTGCACGAGGGTGGTGGGTGGTCAGCACCACACCCGGGTAGCCTCTGTAGCCGTTGTGTAAAATACATGTTCACTGCAATGTGCTCACGAAAGTGGCCGCTGAGTTGCAATGATGTAGTCAGGCCTCCCGTTCTTGTACACGAGGCGAGCGTTTGCTTGGACCCAGGTCCAGCCTTTGTCCTTGGTGAGAAGCCTGAACACCGTGAGGCCACTTTCTCCGGTCCTCATCACTGCACAAACACAGAGGCGCAGCGTTCTTTCGCACATGTCCTAGATTCACGTGAGATGCTGCCACGGGTGTAGCACGGTTAGCACGCAGGAATTACAATCCAGAAGCCGTTGATTTGACTCGATCTTCTACTGGTGCAGCAGTTGAAATTACGAACAAGTTTCTTAAATCATCCCTTGCTCTGTCAACCCAGCATTTTAAATTGGTAGCCGAGAGACAGGTTCTAGATTTGAAGCTTTCGTGACGGCAAGGATCCATACTCTTTGGTTCTATTCGGTAAAGTCACGTAGGTAAAAAATAAAACAACAAAAATCACGACGTTTCGGCCACAACACAAGTGGCCTTCATCAGGTGATTTACAAACACAGACACAATTTCAACCGAGAAGATGGTTTCAAATTAAGCAACCATTGGAAAGATGTTCTAAATCGAACCAAACATTAAACTAATTTTCAATGGCACAGTATATTTTTTCAAGTAGTGGTACCCCAAACTTTCGCAGCTTCTTAAAATTCCCTTTTCACACCATCAATATGTAAACTCCCCCTGCCCCCCTCGCCGGCCTGCACATGTTCACCCCCTCTACACCGTTCATCATGCTAAGTCCGCCAAATAAATGCTAATTTTTATGCTAATTTTTTGTCAAGGCACCTTAATTCCTCTCACACAGCTTAAAGATCGCGGTCTGAGCTTGGCTGTGTTCACTCCAGCGCTGTCCTCGAGACAGTCTGGTCCCTTCACCTGATGAAGGCCACTTGTGTTATGGCCGAAACGTCGTGATTTTTGTTGTTTTATTTTTTTTACCTACGTGACTTTACCGAATAGAACGAAAGAGTAGAGAGACAGGTTGTGTGTTGTGGGGTAAATTGTGGGTGCTCCCGTCTATTCCGAGATGTCTGGGAGCAGAGGTCAAATACCCTCGAGAAGGGCTATCTAGAGTCCATCTCTAGTCGAGGCCTTTACACTACCAGTGGCACGAGCAGGAAATTGCAGGGATTCATCTTTAGCCACCACAACCACTTCAGTCATATTTACCACACGTACCGGTCTGAAGCCCATTGCTGTTTAGTGTGTCAACAGCCCATCTTGTAGTAATAATTGTGCACGTATCACACATATGACGCCATGAATGCAATCTACCAACCCCCCCGTCAGCTTAAACAATGCATCACAATTCAATATTTGAAAGATATCTATGAAAGTTGGACCAGACCCGACAAGCCGGTGATCCTTACTCCGCACGTGATTCTCTGCGCAGTGCAGCATGTCAGCAGCGTGGATGAACTGGTATCCCGTGCCCCGCATGCAAAGTTCGATCTCTGTGTAGCCCAACACCACACGGCCCCTGCAAGCATCACCAACAACCAGCGACAAGGGAGAAGCATTTAAAGACCATCTGCAGGAAGGCTTTGCAGCATCCGTATAATTGACCTTGCTCAAGCTGCTGCCCCTTCATGCTCACGAATGGAATCTTACACTGTACACAGTCGATATCAAGAGCAAAACTAGTGCCAACGTCGCTGGAAAGCTGTCATGCTGCCGGGATATTTTATGCACTTAAAAAAAAATAGTGTGCTATCAGCATCTTCATGAGGAACCTTCCATTACAAACCCTCAAATGTATCAGCGCATTGTCCTGTGTTGGAAGATTGCCCCATGACAGGATGTTCCAGGACTAGTTCTAAAGTCACTACAATGGATCTTTTTATTTGCACTCAGAGAGACCTTTTATATGTCCTACAAAGAGGGTTTGCTTAATGTTAATGATATCAACATTTGTCATTCTCAGAGATGGAATGAACTGGAAGAGAAAGATATTCCCTGATTGTTTTTTGTCGATCATCTTGCCACAGTTGGGAGAATCCAGTTCAGTCACGGCTGCTTCCTGTGACCACACTGTTATCCAGTGCGATCTCAGCAATGCTGGCTCACTGCTCTGAAATGGTATGAACCTCCTCAACTGCTAAGCCCCATCCATGCTGAGTCATTCCAGAAACCTTCCGCAACCATCAACATTCACGAACTCAAATGATATGCACGCCCGGACACAGAAATCAGCCGCGACAGCTCAAATAGTTTATTTGACACCCGGAAGCATCACTGCACGCCGCAGCGCCGCTGCCGGAGGGCCGATGGCGTACTTGGCATCGCAGCCGAGGGGAGTGAAGTCCAGTTTGTGCTTGGTACGGAAGATCATGTTCTTGGTGCGGATCTCCAGGATGGCGGGCGGCTGGAGCGGCGTGGCGACGGCGAACAGCGCCAACTGCGACGGCACCTGGGTGCCGTCAGCCGCCTTGCGGTTCTGCCCGTGCAGGAACTTGAGGCGGCCCTGGAAGTGCAGCGCCTGCGCGGGTCCGCACACGGTTCAGCAAGGGACGCTCGTCGGCGCGACCGGGAAGCCGCGGTGCAGACGGCGCGGAACACAATTTGAAGGAGGAATGAAGGACCGCTGTCCAATAGTGTCGCCGTCCAGTAACAAGCTCTGCACTGATCTCATGAGGGCTTATTATTATTATGTATTGTTATGTTTGTTTATACCTGGGAAGCCTCTTATGTGACTCATGACTCTTTTGCAGGTGGCATCTGCCAAGTGGTTGTTTTTTTTTTTACAGTTGCGGGAAATGACTGATCGGAGACATTTTTCTATTTTGGCAATTTTGAACCGTGACGCTGGGATACACAATGGCCTACTCTTGCAACATCTGTGTTCATTTTTTTAATATCATTAATTTTAGTCCTTTCCCCGCACCTCCGATTAGCATGGTTGGCTACGTACAGTGTGAAAGAAGGTAAACATACATAGTGATGAAATGATTTATCAATTATGTATTTTTTACTTTAGAAAATCATCAAGTGTGATGATGACTACCGATTGCCAAATATGTGTGTCCACAAAGCAATGTATTTTATTATTTTGGAACTTTTTTTTACTTTCCGCACCTATGAACATACACAAATGCAGAAAATGAATAAGATACTAATAGCATTTTGCCTTTCCAGTTTTCAGAAATAAAATGTGTTTAATATTTTGGCAAACAGGCATTTAACAAAAATGTACTTAATTGAATATAAGCGTTACATATTTATATAATCAGTAATTTAATTCTGTATATTTCATAAGGTGCCACGGTGGAATTCATCACTCGTTTATCTCCATCATTTTCGCCTGGCTTCGCCCCTTATCTCACTGCACAGCCAAAAAAAAACCAACCCCAACAACTCCGTATAATGATATTGCCTCTGGCATCTTAGTCGAGGCCCAAATCTCAGGGGTTCTGCACCCCCCCCCCCACCCCGTCTTGGGCAGTGCCAGGCCTCTGGGGCTACGTTTTGCTAGGTAAACATGTGCACGGGCACTCTGGCCACTGCTACCAGCAGGATTGGGGCCAACGCCAGGCGACAACCTAACTGCCTCCGGGAAAAAATCCTGTCCCCCCACTTAGCAGCACACAGGCAGGCCAAATGCCCCTCAAAAGCCTCTGTATGCGGCATGCCAGAAATAAAAAAATAACTTTCATGGCGAATGCATCGCGGAGAGAGCCATACCAGGAGAGGGGGTTGTCACTTCTGATCCGTCACGCCGGTTGAACGCGGCGTGCTAAGCCTTCTCAGCGGAAGGCGAAAAGCTTCGCCAAGGCATACTCTACCCCCATCTCCCCTCTTCAATCCTCTTCCCAGCATGCACTAACTTTGCTAAGGGATGGATGGCTAACCTTCTCGTTCATGCTGATGCACTGAAGGTCAGTGGGAAGGGCTGAATGTCATAATGTCACCATCGCTGTGCATGAATATGTGCTGTTTATGCATTGAAAGTGTTTTAATACAATATCAAATATACGTTTACAGTCATCACACGAGGTGGGGTATAATATTAAATACTTTAAAACCCACTTAAATGTGTTAAAGGTTTTAGGTTGTTATTCATTAACTTGTGTGTGTGTGTATATATATAAAAATAGCATTCTTTTTTCATAAAAATTACCAATTACAGTATCTGAATAATCTTTTGTCAAGATGCATAATGATGAATTTCAGGTACTCCACGAGATAAAAAAGACCCAAATAACAAATTGCTCTCGTAGATATGTACTTGGACTTCGCGAATGAAGTGACTGTTAAATACGTCGTTATGACACTAGTGAACCTTCCGTGACGTCACACCCATACATCCTCATACAAGCTCAGCGCAGTTATCTCAGTGAAGTTCCCGACCATGAATGTAACATCATTCATCACGTTAACTCATTGTGAATCTCTTGTTAAGATAACCTGGGATACACAACCAAGTTACCCATCCGTGTTGCATATTCATTTAAAGTTATATAATTATTTTAAGAGACATTTGCGAACAATTAATAGGATGGTTTTTGCAATGCACTCGCAGCTAACCGGCCATGCACCACACATTGAAATGATATATTTGTGCAGCTGATTATACATAACTTGAGGTGCTCCGAATGCTGGCCTTGGCTTTTGAACAATAAATGTAAAAAAAGCTAAGATTTGGCACAAAAATCAAGTCACAAGCCAGGACATGTAACGCCTCATATGATTTTGAAAATTAAAAAATCAATGCAGAACACAATCTTCTTGAAACTGTTTTGCCAAAGCACACTATGCATACTCGTACAGTATGTTCAAATTTAATTTCCACCGAAAACCACTAGGGCCAGGTGTTGAGTGGGAATATCTAAGGCCGCTCATCAGCGCCACATTGCAGACACAAAACTCATTTACCATAAATCCAGAGGAGTTGTCCAAGAGGCAGCGGAATCGCGCTACAAAGTTGCGCTCCAGGAAGGAAGAATTTTCAGGTGGCAGCTGCTCGGGGTTATACGTCACCAGGAACGAGCAGGACGGAGTCTCTGCTGACAACGTAGCGGAGATCCACACAAGCACACACAAAGACAGAGATTATCCCCCGTGTATCCTTCCCAGACTGTTGGAGCCATTGCTGTTAGAGCGAGCACCTATGAAGGCTGGCACGTTACACGAGGTGGTGGTGGGTGGCCAGCATCAGGCCCACCAGCCTTTGTCTCCCCGCGTGGCGATGTTTTTACACTATATACTAGATATTATTTTGAGGCTGAGTCGACCTAGGGGAGGCCCAGGACCGGTTCAGATAATCGTCACCGGTGTTGGCCGTGAGAGGGAATCTAACTCGGGTAGCCGGGCTTGTAGCGCAACGCGCTAACAAGCACACACAAAGACAAAGATCCCCCGTATAACCTTAACAGACAAACCCAAGCACACACACATACAGACATGAAGAACCACCTCGGCTTATAATTTTTCAGTGTGGTCATAAAAGCAGCATGGTATTTGCAAAAAAAGAAACTCAACACGTGTCAATAATAATGCCCTGAAGAGGACAATTTTTTTTTAATTAGGTGTCATTTCAGGAAATAGCCCTGCTCTATTTACAGAAGAATATAGTCAATGCCTGAAATGTTGCCTATCATATATTTTTGTCAATATTTTTTGTTTCATTTATGAATATTATAGTGTTTGCTATTTGTAATTGAACACCAGTGATGAGATTTTAAAATATAATTTTGTTCAGGATCAAAAAAAGTAAAATAATGGCAATGCTTCGCCATGCCTATCTGATTATTAACCTCGTTAAATGTTTAAAATTGGCCACTTATTGTTTTTAAACCTTAGCAGTGAAATTAAATGAACAGATACAATGTGACATTATAAAATAAATGTACCATCATTTACTCCTCACCAAGATTTGTGATGGAAACCAACTGCTAACGTATTTTTTATTCTCCTCTTACTAGTTCATATCATCTCAATAATTGAATTAAGTTTCAATACAAGTCAATTCTTTATTTGTTTACACTAAAACTGGCGCATTTCATTTGGCTCTCACTACATTCTGAGAGCAGTTATATATATGAAGGAATTGGAATACCGGGTGACCATCAATGAAGAGATACAAACGTTCTGAAACCACTCGAGTAGATTAAATAAATCTTGAGGGCACTTAAGAGATTCAAGGTACTCTGCTTGGCACCTGGCTTGGAATTAATGACCCACTTTTCTGTTGCTGTTGCAAAGTCAAAGTATGAGCAATAATGTCATTACCAATATGTTTGCTCAAACATACAAGTCTCCCGTTTCACACTTCAGAATAATAGTGCCACAATGGACATCAGTTGGAACACCAGGAACTTTGTATAAAATGTTACATAACAAATCATATTGCCAAAATTATAAATGTAATTTAATGATGAAGAACTACTCAAGAAACCCGCTGGAGAAAAATAATAACTTCTGAATGGTTTCGCAAGGTATGAACATCTGCTGCAAAGAAAACAATTTTTAGCTCACTTGATCATCAGCGAGTGTGTGTGTGTGCAAATGTTTGCATAGCTTCTCATGTATGCACACGTGCGCATGTAGGTATCTGTGCAGGTGTGCATGCATGCAAGCAAGCAAGCAAGCCCATTCCTGTACGTGTACTTGCATGTATTTGTATGCACGGTGAGCTGTGTGTATGCAGGTGCGTGCCTGGATAAGCGCATGTAAATGTTCTGCTCGAGCCAGTGCTACGCGCGTGCTAGGCCGATGTGAACAGATGGTTTTGCAAGACCGTGAGCCCCCGTAGTGCTGTCCTGTCCGCCCGGTGGGTTGAACGCCCAGTGCAGCTGGCGTTGGAACTCGCTGCGGTCCTCGGTGTGAATGAGCTCGAACACACTCTGGTTGATGACATCGGACTGGAAACGGCATAAAAATCAGCCGGGCAACAGGGCTTCTACGATTACTGACAGCAACGCGCGGGAGGGGGGGGGGGGGGGGGAACATTTCATTTGTACACTTCCAACATGTGAGTCGATTGAACTGGTACAATATCACACTTAATGACTGATATGTAGCGAAGTGCATAGCGTGAGTCCAGTGCTCATGGCTGGACCCACCTGGTGAAAGCCAAGGTAGTCCTGAATGGTGTGTGATGAGTAAAATACGAGTCCCTCCGATGTGACAACCAACACGAAGCCGTTGAGGGCCTGCAAAATAAAAAAAAGTCACCACGCTTGAGTGTCGAGCTTCTTCTATTCACGAAAAAACTATATACATTCAGCTCTTTTGCGTGTGGATATTCTCCACGCTCTATATGGTAATTCAGTAATGGAAACAACAAATTCATTACGCATGGTTGTGAAGCATAGTAATGCACACATACATTAAGCAAAGCTACATTCCCCATGTACATAATTCACAATTCACCTTAGAAATTGATATCATGACAACAATTTAAATAAGGTACTTTCAAACACTTGATCTGTATGATTCAATAATAATTCCTCGTAATTATTGTTTCTATCCGGCTAATATATATTTCTCCATAATGCACAGAATAAATAATTAACTAGAGATCTCAACATATTATTCATAATTCAAATAATGCACTTAAAGACGTATGTTTTTTTGAGTTTGGCAAACTGCCAGTTTTCATGCCAAAACCCTCCACCACCCAGCAATATTGTCAGGTTTACAAATATATACTATTTATGTGGCCCACTGTGTTAATCAAATTCTGACCGAAGGCTTAAACATTTTCACGACTGAATTAAACACCAACATATAACGACATTTCCCTCAAAATGCTTTGAGCTTCATGAGGAAGTCTTTATCGAAAAATAATTTATTTTGAACTGCTTCTTGTGTTTAGTTTGTTGTTTATCCCCTGCACCTCCTATTAGCATAGTTGGCTACGTACGGTTCGAAATAAGTTCAACATACACACATACATACTCGAAAATCGCGTTGGCTTCATCAGATGTCTTTGCACTTTAAGTACTTTCAAGGAAAATGCACTTTCATACACTTAAGATATCATATGCCTGCTGAATGACTTTCCAGGAAACAGGAACATCTGACAAGAGTAAATTTTAACACAGCCATATGAATGTTATTTAATTTAAACTACCGCTTTAAAAACGTGTTATGGTAAATGGATTTCCGTTTCCATTTTTTTTTCTATCAGATGAGTCTGGTACCAAAACTGCAGTGCGCAAAGAATGGATAATTCCCCCAATGTATCAACTTACAAATCACTGCATTTGGCACCGTGGGCTATGTCATCCTGAGAAAGACCGTGGATTATTATTCATAATATATAAATAACTAGCTTTACTACCCGGCTTCGCCCGGGACTTGGATTCACCACGCCCGGCCGCCTTTGTCTCCCCAGTGGCGATGTTCACACACCACACCAGTTACTCGTTTGAGGCTGAGTCGACCTAGGGGAGGCCCAGGACCAGTTTAAATAATCGTCACCGGTAGTGGCCGTGAGCGGGAATCGAACTCGGGTCGCCGGGTTCGTAGTGCAGCGCGCTAACCACTACACTACAATGCGTTACGCTTCCACATGCGCAGTTCACGTGACAGATTTGACGTCACAGTTACTTGCCGTGCAAAAAAAATACGCATTATTGAGCTCCCCCCCCAAAAAGAAAGTGTATTTTTTAGAAATTTGCATGCAGTACAGTCTAGAAGTTTGTTGCATGTCGGGAAGTACGCTAAACATTTTGAACAGACACACACAATCACAACTTTGCCTTTTATATATATGGAGATATCAAAACATAAAGGTTTAGTTTCCACTGCAAAAAAAAACCGGTATATTTTTTTTATTTAGCAATTCATTGCGAAGTTGAAAAACAACAACACATCAAGTGAATGCTATCAACGAGTATTTGTTTCTCTTTGTCCACTCCGTGCATGCAATGAAGTCAAACCCGAAGTCCTGATATATGTGCAATTCTCTCGTGCCTCGCGTTTATGTTTGCTTTCAGTGAACCGCTGTGGCCTTGTTGTGTGCCAGGGATGCCATAAATCAGTTTAATGTGGGCTATATTGTCACCTTAGGGCGAGTGTGTTTTTTGCTGAACAAACACGAAGTGAATGGCAGCGGCACATCAAAGGTCTTCACACATCCTGTAAACCAACAACGGCTCACTACTCAGTCGCAGGACCTCTTTCCTCAGTGGGTGTCTCTGCGTGGGACTGTGAGCGCATCGGACTCGTAAAGCGCATGAGCCCGGGCTAAAATGCAATGGCAAAAGGACGCGTGTATTTATTCCAAACAACGAGACGCCCTTCGTATTAACGATGTCGAAACAATCGAAAGGTCTTTACGCAAACTACAAAGGCACACACGATTCTGTGTTTAGCGAACGTCTCCATTTGCTTGTGGGTTACAAAAACAAAGCATCGCACGCATATGCCGATGAGCCTTTAATAGAGAGGTGACCTGTGTCCGGCTGCTGAGGCCTGCAGATGTTTACAGGATCACACTGGAGCCTGTGATTCAAAGTCAGTGTGAGTCATCGAGACCCTTAAAGGCATAGCTTTTCACGGAGCATTGCCAGAACATTAAGTCGATTCTCATCAGCTACGAAAGTCGAGATCCACTGGTAATTATTACCAACCAATGCAACTTGTGTACAAAATAAACTTGTTTAAAGGGTACATGGTGCAGCCCTGCAAATTGCTTGCTCACGCCACTGCTGGTGGATGGGTCTCCACTAGAGGGACCTCTAGAAAGCCCCTCTGTAGAGCATGTTGACTTTCCCTTCCACACTGGCTAAGACGTCTTGGAAGAGGTGGGAGTCCCCGCATTTGACGCCACTCTACACACACCACGTGCTGTGGTGTAACCCATTTACACCGAATGGTGGACGTGGGAAGGAGGATTCAAGGATACAAGCCCCATTGTTTCAACTACCATGCCCGGGCCACGAACAGATGGCCTCTGATATTTTATTGAGGCGAATTGCACGTGTTGGATTCTGGCTGCGACGACAGTAAGCGGTGGAGGAAAATTCCACTTTCTTGCAAAGAAATCTGAATGTACAGCAATGTTGCCCGGATTGTTCGACGTCCACAGGAAATGTATTTACTTCCTTCACGAAGACTCGTGCAGTGGCGAGATGGAGACATTATGCCGCATACCCAGCTCAAATCTCGACTACAGCATTGACTTATCTCACGACAGAGCTACATCTCAAAACTGACGGCAATTGAATTAATTCCGTTGGACGATAACTCACGTCGCAATAAACGCTGTTCGCGACTCAGAATGTATGTATGTATTATTACCATCATCAGCAAGCGCGGCCATTTTTTGTTAACCTACAGAGGCCATCGAGTTTGGAACTGCAATGACTGCCGAGGCTCATGTCATCATCTCACTAATGAGCCCTGCAGGAATCAAGGCAAATCCTTTATAATTACCATCCTCACAAAAGGAAACCACGGATTTCATGGCTGCTAGCCAGCCAGAGATGCAACAGCACATGCGCTGCCAAGGCTCATAATCATCTCCTATTTCATTTTTAGATCAGGCTTGTTGTGATTAATCTGCTCCAAATCCCACATCACAGACCTTGGCTGGTTATGAGCGGCACATCATTTATTTATTTAATCATGCTTTTATTTTTATTTTTACGCAAGAAAGCTTAGCTGAGTCTCGTGATTCTTTGTCAGGAGGGTCCCGCTAAGTTTTCGTAGTCGAGAGCGAAGTTGCTGTGCGTAATTGCTCATGGTATTTTTTCAGCATTGAGATGTTTGTACGGTTTTTTTTTTCTTCTATGGGAGGAAACCAGAGCACGTGGAGGAAACCCATGCAGAAAACGCAGAGAACATACAAGCACGTGAAAAGGCATCAGAGTCGGGAATCAAATCGAGGCGCTTCTTGCTGCGAGCCACAGATGTTACCACTATGACACCCTGCCTCTCATTTAATAAATTAAATTTTAGTTTTACGAGTATCACCTAAGTCTGTGACAAGCCCGTTCTAAGTGACGTTTTTTTAAGGACTTTAATTGAAGGTTAGATATTGATGCAATCTCCGTAACTGAATTGTTTCTCTAGTAAATACGCTCCAATTGCAGAAATATGCTAATTTATTTTGCCCTTAACTGCCATAAACTGAAACTGTATGGGTAAACTGTCTCTGCTATTCACACGCGACATTCATCAACCATCTATGTTTTTCCATAACATGTTATTTGGTATTCATACACCGTGCAATTAATCTTCCAGCAACGTCACATATTCAGTGTATCATAAACTTAGTGGAGGTGTTAATAATTTGAATGCACTCTTTGTCTTTTTGTCGGTAAAGTCACGTAGAAATAAGAAATAATAATAAAATTACATAATAGCATACGACGTTTCGATTGCAACGCAAGCAATCATCATCAGGCATAGAAGAGCTAAATTTAAGAGAGAGAGGAAGCACAGAACCGCAGATATATATACAGACACCTAAGTAGAGGGAGTTAACACAGAGACACAAAGAGAGACACAACGTACAGCGAGATAGGGTCTCTGTGTCGAGGCCTTAGCATGTAGGGGAGACAAAGAGAGATGGAGAAGCACATCAAATCGAACAAGATTTAGAAACATTTGGAAACAATATAATGCAACACAGAGGGTCGGTCAAAACACAATTAACGCATGGTTTGGCTGATTACGTTATTTCAAAGATTGCTAAATTATAGGTTAAGAGTGATAGAGTACAGATCGCAAACACATATATAGACATCTAAGCAGAGAGAATTAGCACAGAGACACACAGAGAGAGACACACACATGGGATGCAACAATAAGAATATAACATGTAGTAGAATGCTTTGCGTGTCAAGATGACTTCACCATCCTTGTGTATACTTCGCACTGCTATCTGATTGCCATCAGGTGAACACAATCTGAGATTGCGGCAGTTTGTAACTTAAGCAAAAGGCAACGGGCTCCACCATGATTAGGACTCATCAGTATAGTAATGCGATTATTGGCGACTGTCGCAATTTTAATGAAGCTTTTTACTGTTGCTCTTAGGCTGTGCTGAATTTGTCCCCACATTGTAAAGAGAGCACTGCTTAACCCCAGTTAATAAATGGATCATTCTATCATCATCAGCCACTGCTGGCTAATGTCCTCTCCTCGCCGCCACCATCTCTCGTGATTCTGGAATGGGAATAATCCACCTAGCTCCTGT